TGGCCTGCCCCGAATGTTCTTTCTGTAGCCCCGGACAATTGTACCTCAATAATATAATACATTAACCGTGCTTTACGTCAACCTCATCATGACACTAGAGAGGACGGAAGGACTGTAATTTCCCGTGTTCAGTGAATGCAACAGAGGCAAGACACCAGACCAATCAGAGAGTTGCACGGAAATAAAAGTGTGCTTGTGTCATTCAAGCTCGTGTGGTGTGTGTGTGTGAGAGAGAGAGAGAGAGAGAGAGAGAGAGAGAGAGAGAGAGAGAGAGAGGAGAGAAGAGAGAGAAGAGAGAGGAAGAGAGAAAGGAGAGAGAGAGAGAGAGAGAGAGAGAGAGAGAGAGAGAGACCGGTGCCAGCAGCAGGGACCGTGTTGTTAGCATCTGGTTAGCTATCTGCACTAACGGACATAAGGAGCTGTTGGTTCCACAACAAGCTGGAGGAGAGCTCTCTCTCAGTGAGCTAAAGGACTCTGAGGGTTTAGATAGTCTAAGTTATCTCAGTGGGTTCTCAAACGGTTAGGTCAAAAGATTATTTCCGCGGCACACTTTCATATTATCATTATCGTTATAAAAAAAACAAGAGAATAAAGGAAAAACAGTTATGAAATACTATATGGCAGTAAAACAAGAATACAGTTTGAAAGGGGAGTGATTTGTAAAATATCCATAAAGAAAAAGAAATCTGATTACAGTTGTGTTTCATCTGGGTGTTGAGAGATGTATCCATAGATCTCTTAATGTTGCTCTCAAAGTGCACCAGATTGATGCTTTTAACTTCAATATTTAAAAAAAAATCTTGCCGGTGGAGCATCCCCCCGGACCCCCCTAGAGGAGGTGAGGTCCGCTCCCCACTCGTAAAAAATAGCACTTTACCCCTGCCTATATGCCGTGAGCTGATTATCGAGCCTTCATTGTAACAGTCGCGGGTGTACTGTGTGTTTGCGTGTGGGGAGTGTTGCAGTAGAACATTACACTGGAACGCCCCTGGTGCTCGCGCTTTTGTGCGTGCTCTATAGTGCCCGTAATAGTGTTCACTGGAGTCCAGCACCTCAGCACCCCCACTCAAAATACCTTCCCGCGCCTCTGTTCAGGGCAATATGGTATAACTGCAAGCTCAGTTTACTGTAGCCTTAAGCTAACCCTATACAAAATGTTTGTGATTCCCTTTTACCTAATTTGACTGCTGCACCCATGTTTCAGATAAACAAATAGGTTATTCAGATCCTGTGCAATAAAAATCTGGCCCGTGGCCCTGGAAAGCTCCACGCAGGCCTGCTGTGGAGGAGTAGCAGTTTTCACTACTTCCTGACCGGCTTTGAGCAAATGCCAAGTACTGTATGTGTGTGATCTGTGCTTTGACGTTTCCCTTATTTGTTTCCTTGATTGCCTGAATGTTTTAACTGCTCTAGTAAAGGGCATTACAACCTTGAAGGGGAGCCAGCCACGCACCTTGGAAGGATTAAGAAGCTGTTTTGTTTTATGTTGTAGACGGTAAACAGTGGTGTAAAGGGCTATTTGGGTTTGATGTGCATACATACATCTCCATGTACTGTAAATACATTCATATGTGCACATAATTGCTCATCCAATCTAGAGAAAACATATGCACACAAAACACACACATACACTTGTTTTAATCTGTCTTTGAATTCATTAAAGGCTTCACCACAGATAGTCACAGAGATAGGTCACCAATAGTGACCATAAGGACCAAATATCTTGAATTATTTTCCAGGAAATATCTTTTGTGAAAGTCATTTCTAGCAATGGCAGTAGTACTATGGCCAATACGTAATAAGCCCAAGCATCATTAGGGCAACAAATTGCTTAAATTGTAAGAGAAATATGTACCGTCTGCACAAAACTGCTATTTGTGTTCTATCTCCTACCAGCAGGCAGTGTTGGATTTGTTTTAATCATGACCAATATATGTTTTAATCCATTTCAGTAGCCAAAGCATAACCAAACCATAGGTGTAAAGTTAGCCAATTAGAAATGCTCTATGAATTAACCTGCACTTTGCATTATATTCACCATCCTCTAGCTTTCAATTTTAATTTCTCTGACTGTTTATTCTTTCATTATAAAACAGTAAAAAAGTAAAATCATTGTATGTGTAAACTTACCAAGCAACAAACCAGTTCTGATTCTGATGTATCTTTTATGATCAAATAAGTTCCTTGAAAGTTACTTTTCTATTTTTAAATCCATGCCTTACTCTGTCAGGCAACTAAAGCAGTGGTCGCCAACATTTTCAGGCTGAGGACCCCTTGCTAAAGAAGGGAACGTCGTGGACCCTCAAATAAATAAACTTGATACTGGGTCGACAACTTTGTGGGGGTGGCTAGTTCCATTTATTAATACCTTATTGCATACAATAATAAGCTATTTAAATAATAAAACTATGTCATAGCTAATTAGTTAGCCGTTATGGCGATTTAGCATAGGTTTCATGGGTAACGTAAGACTGTCATCACTGTGGAAAATAAATGGGTTGGTTTTACGAAAAGTTGATTTATCATTGCTAATATGTTGGATTGATTGTATTTTAAAACATATTTAACAAAAAAAGCAATACTTTGCTGGCCCCTCTGCAGTAACTCTGAAGACCCCCAAAAGGCAAGGACCTTATGTTAAAGACCCATGATCTACATTATCTGTTCTAACAAGGGCTGCTAGGTAACGGCAGGGAAACCCCAGGGTGGTTAGCCAACAACGGTCAGATATAACATTTACATTTACATGTACACACACACACACACACACACACACACACACACACACACACACACACACACACACACACACACACACACACACACACACACACACACGACACACACACACACGACACACACACACACACACACACACACACACACACACACACACACACACACACACACACACACACACCACTGCTGCACCATCACTCTCCCCATTTCCTTCTGCCTATACAACTCTTTGTCGCCCTCCTGTAAGAGACCAGATTGACCCACTAATGTTCCTTGCCAGCCAAACAACAATGCTGATGCAGCTGAAACCAGATTACTCCAGTTCTCTGTGGTAAGGCACTGAGGGAGCAGAGAGAGGGTGGCGGGTGGCTCGGCTTTATCACAGCACACACACACACACACACACACACACACACACACACACACACACACACACACACACACACACACACACACACACACACACACAGTGAAATCTCACATTTAAACAAGACTAAGGAAATGAAATGAGGAGAGCACTAGAAACAAGGTGCCCCCACCTTTTCAAAAGTGAAATTCAAATACTTTCCAAGCATTTCAAGGAGGATTTTCAAGCTTTTACAGCAAATTACATATTTGTATATATACAAGTACTCAATATATAACTTGTAATATTAGATATGAATGGGCTATAAAGGACCCAAATGATGGTTTCTGACAATTCCACCCATACTGTGGGAAATTAAAGAAACACAAAACAATGTATCATGTTTTTAAATATGTCCCCAGTTTTGAAGCACACTTTATTCAAAATCCAAGCACATTTCAAAAACACTTGAATTGTAATGTGGTGTTTTAAAGGATTTTATGCAAGCATGGGAACCATGTGGGAAAGGGGGAAGAGGAAACTGGAGATACTATAAAGCCAAATAAAGGCAAATAAAGGATGATGTCTTCACAGGAGATAGGAAAGCTAGAGAAAGAATGAAAAAACTGACAGAAAATCAGCCAAAGAAAGATGGATAGAAGTGACGAAATCAAAAGCTATGCACCTGAGAACAAAAAGGAAAAACAAGATAGATGAGACGGGAAGGAGACACCAATAGGAGAATGCAACCTGAGTGTGTGTTGGGGGTGGACAGTGACAGCAGGAGGGTAGGGTCAGGGTCTTGCTTGTATAACCACTGCCCTCCACACCATGTGCTGCAGGGCAGAATTGATTAGATCACATCATCACATGGTTCTACACGGTTCAGGAGCTGACTTTATGCCATCACACCAGACTGGGACATCCAGTACGCAAGTTCATGACCCCCCAATGCTGGCTGCATATCATGTAGAAACACATGTCGTTAGATTACAAAAACACCATGGCAGAGCTTTGATAAGACATTTTCTCTGAGGGCGTAGTGCAGTATAGGACGTCACACACAAATTGCCGTTGTCACAAACTTGGAATCTTTACTGGAGTTTTGAAGTCATTTAGGGAGCCTTGGTGTTGGGATCAGGGGGTCACAGGTTCAAACCCCACTGCAATCAGCATGTCGTTGTGTCCCTGAGACACCTCACCCCAAATTGCTCCTGTGGGGATTGTCCACAGTATTGAGTATGTAAGTCGCTTTGGATAAAAGCGTCTAACATGTAATGTCATTTAGAAAATAATGCAAGCAACTCAAATGTATATTGAAGGCATGGCCATGTCATTACATTTTGCTTCTTCTTTTCATTATGTTAGTTAACATATTTTATTTTTGGTCTTTCACCACACTGTCTGTTAGATTTCCTCCCCATGAGACGGAAAAATGATTTCTGATTCTGATTGTCAAGATGTTTCTAGAGGTGTGATAACCATGGTTGTCATTCAGACATGTAAAATGTAGCTTTTATCACTACACATTTAAGAAACTATCATATCAAAAAAGTTGTTAAAGCATCTATAAAATAAAGTTTTGGATTATCTTTATCTTACCCACTGTCTCCTAAGAATACTTATACTGTATGTGTGAATGGGAAAGCGTAGAATCATCTACAGTGGATGAGCATGGTTTAACACGTCACTCTATTAGGAAATAAAACGTTCTCATGGGTGAATCTGAAGGAACAGACAGAAGTATAAAGACTTCGAGAATCTTTGTAAAGAAGCACTGAAGCTGTTCTGGATGCTAGTGGAGGTCCAAGACACTTCATTTTGTATTTTTCTTTAACTTGTCTCCTATTTATATTCCAAAGTAGCCTCCAACAATCTTCCATCAGAACCACTCTTGTTGGAATCAAAGACTTACCCTGTCCGTTGGAGTAGTAGATCCACTTCTCTTTGACCTGCGATTGAGGCGCTGATGGTTTCTTCTGGATTGCCTTCTCGATGATGCTGCTGGGGTCCTGCACCGGCCCCTTCTTCAGCACACGAGAGCTCCGCTTCACACTGCAGATCACGATCACCACCAGCACCAGCAGGAGCAGCAGCACTATCATCCAAGGGAGGTGCTCGTTGATGTCGAAGTGATCGTGGGTGCTCGGTCTTGGGGAACCCCTTCGAGTTGGCCTGTAGTAGCTTTGGACCCCACTCCCACCGCCCTGTCCTGCTACCTTGCTGATACCCGGCCAAACCCTGATTACATCAGCACCTTCCGGACCCTCAACCCCTTTCTTGTTTGGGTCCGTCACAGGGTCAGAATTGGGTTGCCCTCGTTGGTGCTCCAGTTCCATGAGTTGCCCGTGAGTCCGTGGGCGATTTGTTGGGGTAGAAGCGCTAAGCTGGTTGAGGAGTGGCCCCTCTGCATGGTGGTCTTCCCCACTCGGGACTCCCCTTAGTTGAATGGCTGCTGATTGGCTGTAGGTGCCTGGGAAAAGAGACAGAGGGATTGATGTATGGAGTTAGAACAAGTAAGAAGTAGAAAGATGAGGGACAACAAAGAGCGCAACGAGACAAGATAGTACAGAAGTAAGAGATGGGAGACAACACACGGAATGAAAGAGGAAATTCAATTCACTAACTTGCTTAACCCAGACAATGTAAATACTTTAATCCATGCAAGCAATGTAGCAAACACACAGAAGGAGGAATAACCTCCCCCTCTGCTCCCAGTCATCTGCTTCCTGGATTGATTACTTCATCCATCCTTGGGTACCCACCCACTGCATACTACTGTATATTGCAACTGATATTTGAGTTTTGAGGTCTTAATAAGTATTTCCCAGGAATGTTTTTAATCAGCCTTTTTTGGATCTAACATTACACAATTCACATTATGGTCTATGTTTGGTTTAGGACATTTGACTTTCATGTTTATAATGAATATGGTTAGGGTTAGTGGCAAGTCCCAAATAGCTAAATTTTGGAATTACACCTGAATCAATTATTACAAATGGATGGGGAACAAGAATGTGTGCTTTTTGAGATAAAGTCAAAGAGGATATAAGGGAATCTTACATATAAAAGAAGTAGGGCTTCAAGCTGTTTTAAAGACAGAATGAATACATTGCTTGATCATGGCTAAGGAAAACATGAATACAACTGAAGGTGGTATCATTATTTATACAAGCAGTATATACAAAAAGTATATCCTAAATATTTTTGAACCACATGCAGAGGTTTGCACTACCTTGCATGCTGGCAGCACTGCCAAAGAGCATACTCATTCAAGTAAGACTTGATATTTATAATTTCAGAACAGATGCCTGATGCCACATGCTCAATGAAAAGTTACTTGTCCATGATGGATAACCCCACCCAACCTGTCCACCTGCAGCTGGACAGACAGTGGAGCTCCTTCTCCAACAGACTGCTCCAGCTCCGCTGTCACAGGGACAGATACAGGAAGTCATTCCTGCCAACAGCCATAACTCTGTATTCCTCTGGCTGGCAGAGAACTCACTGCTACATAGTTTGGTTTCTCCCCTCCAGTACCATGAACAACCATGAACAACTGCTACTTACATAACTGTAATTGATATACTACAGTACCATATGTATGTGTTCTGCTATACTGTAATATATTGTGGAGCATGGTCTAAATTATCTAGAACATGTTATATTGAGCATTCTAGTGGTTTATGGCCTTTATACTTTAGATATGTACATACTGTAGACTGCTGCTGCATCAAAATAATTTCCTAATTTGGGATAAATAAAGTACAATCCATCCATCTTACTTTGTCATCAATAGGTTTCCCTCCAAATATAATAACATAATTTCCCAAATCTGGCTAAATTAATTAATTACAGTTTATATCAACATCTGTTATGTGAATATTATGAGTCAGTTATTTGGCATAAACAACTAGTGGTGCTTATTGGGTCTAAATGGATGCAATAGGGTGAATTGCAAAAAAAATGGCACAAAGAGATATGTTTTTGTTTGTTTCATCTATTTGATCGTCAGAGTTATGAGGGGAAATCTTGTTGAATACCCTATGCACAATCCTGTATTCCTTCCACCACGCAGAGGCCCAGCTGTGCTCCACCTCCTAATCTCTCAGCAGACGAGCTGTAAATTGCTCACCCCACAGGCTGTCCCTTCAAAGCTTAACTGTTGGCAAATCTTCTGAGATTTAGCATTCAATTGCAGGACATATTGAAAAGTAACAACAAAAAAAGAGAGGATTGGGATGGGCTTACAATTGACACCAGAGCAAACCTCTGTAATCTGTTGAAATGTAAAAGTAACAACTGTTCTGTTAGACAAACACAGGGGCAGTGTTTGAAACATGGTAACAAACTGTAATGGTCAGTCTTTCTAAGTGCGTCATTAACCTTTATTGATTATCGATGTGGCCGCCATCTGTGCCTGTGTGCTGCTGCCAGTGGGATGGGTGTTACATGACATTATATCATAGATAGGCTGCTGAATGTTTTTAGGATTGTCCCTCTAAAACAGGTACACAGGTGCAGGTCCAATCCAAAGGTTAGGCTGATTCTTCAACATGTCAACCTTTATTATTTTATTTTTAAATACAGAATACTGTAGGGTAGGAGTTTTAGAACAGTATAGGGGATATGTGGAATCTTATATGCAAAATATACTGGTCTTAAAATGACTTATGACTCAAACTAATAAAATGTTCCCTACAATTATTATTTATTGTCTTAAGGCCAATTGGAGGGTGCATCATCTGGTATATACTCCAAAATCTTTATCTTTTAATATGTTGACTATTCGCTCATATTTAAGTTTTCAACTGTGTAGAAACTTTTAAATGTGCATTTTTATAATTTAGGCTGCTGCTTTCACATGTTACGCTCATTGCTCAGCGAGTGGTTGTGCGGAAACAAGTTGTTAAGTTGTGTTTCTATGGTTACCTCCCCTGCTAACTTGTGTCCCTACACACATCTGATATCTGATTGGTTTGCACTTCGAAAGGTTAGTGGTAAATGAGGTAAACGTTTAAATTATTTGAACTTTGAGCGCTGTGCTCAGTGACAATTTCAAACGTTCTCCAGTGAAACAGCAATGTCAACGCAGAGCCATTTCACCACATGTCATGGGAAGGCAGCTTCAGAGTATAAATGTTTTTAGAAGATGAAATATTTTTCTTTTAATGCTACTGAAAGAAAGCCCACACATTTATATGGTGGGTTTGTTTGTTGATGTTATGTTGTGGGTGTCTTTCCTTTGGTGCTCCCGGGGGCCTGTACTACGAAGCTGGTTCAACCTAACCTGGATATGTTTGAGTTAGCCGGTTGGCCTAATCCAAAACATACGCGCTCTCGCTAAACGGTACTACGACGCGGGTTATCAAGTGGATCGCTCAAGCCAGCCGTGTCCTATCTAGTTAGGTGCGCGTTCACATGAAAGGGGTGGTATCTGGAGCATTCGACCAATCACAAACATGGAGAAGCCTACTGACAGCGCAGCGTCATACTTCCTGAATGAAAAGTCAACTATAATATTAGACATATGAAGAAGTTAAACTTTAAACATCCATGACTTAAACACTTTATCCAGGATAAAAGCCACATAGCTGCACCTGCAAGGTGAATACAGCTGGTAAAAGAACAAGTGTTTGAATAGGTACATTAACAGGTTTATGATATCACTGCCCCGTCTAAGACACGATCTGACTTTAATTACATTTGTCTCGAGTGTTTCGCCAACTTAATGTGTTGCTTAAAATAATACTTCTGCATACAGTATGTGACACTGAGTGTTGCACGGCCTTATACGGCTCAGCTGACTCAGATAAGAAAATATATGATACATTAAGTGATATGCCGCGGACTGTAGCCTACTTAATGTTACTCTGATCCGGTTACTTACTTATGTTGTGGCAGATATTTAAGTAAGCTTTCTTAACTCTAATGTTATAATAGTCAGATTGCTCTGAAGATGGGAGGTGATATTCTATTAATGTTCACGTTCACAGTCGGTGATTTTTGCCGGCCGTCTTTCCTGCAACGGCAGCTTTTCTGTATTTCCTTTCTCCTGTAATATGACTTGATCGCTTTAAACTCCGCACACTGAGCTCTGATTGGTCAGCAGGCAGTGCTTTCACTGAGTTGAGCTCTTAGCCTGCAACCTAACCTGGGGGGTATACTACGAAGCAGGATTTTCGCTTAGCCGGCTAAATTCAGGGAAAACTCCGGCTTTCCGGTCCTACGAAGCTGGTTCTCTTTTTAGCAGGCTAGATCTCCATGGTAACTTATGCTTAGCGGCTAACCTGGTCGGGACCAGGTTAGGTTGCAGGCTAAGAGCTCAACTCAGTGAAAGCACTGCCTGCTGACCAATCAGAGCTCAATGTGCGGAGTTTAAAGCGATCAAGTCATATTACAGGAGAAAGGAAATACAGAAAAGCTGCCGTTGCAGGAAAGACGGCCGGCAAAAATCACCGACTGTGTGAACATGAACATTAATAGAATATCACCTCCATCTTCAGAGCAATCTGACTATTATAACATTAGCGTTAAGAAAGCTTACTTAAATAGCCTATATGCCACAACATAAGTAACCGGATCAGAGTAACATTAAGTAGGCCTACAGTCCGCGGCATATCACTTCATAATGTATCATATATTTCCTTATCTGAGTCAGCCGAGCCGTATCTCACAGTAGTATAGGCCCCTGGTCCCGACCAGGGGCCTATACTACGAATCTAGTTCAACCTATCCTGGATATGTTTTAGTTATCCGGTTGACTTAATCCAAAACAAAGCCGCTCTCGCTAAACTGTCCTACAACGCTGGCTATCAACTCGTTCGCTCAAGCCAGCCGTGTCCTATCTAGTTAGGTGCGCGTTCACATGAAAGGGGTGGTATCTGGAGCATTCGACCAATCACAAACATGGAGAAGCGTACTGACAGCGCAGCGTCATACTTCCTGAATGAAAAGTCAACTATAATATTAGTAAATTATGAAGAAGTTAAACTTTAAACATCCATGACTTAAACAGTTTATCCAGGGTAAAAGCCACATAGCTGCACCTGCAAGGTGATACAGCTGGTAAAAGAACAAGTGTTTGAATGCGTACATTAACAGGTTTATGATATCACTGCCCCGTCTAAAACACGATCTGACTTTAATTAGGCTACATTTGACTCGAGTGTTTCGTCAACTTAATGTGTTGCTTAAAATAATACTTCTGCATACAGTATGTGACACTGTGAGTGTTGCACGGCCAGATACGGCTCGGCTGACTCAGATAAGGAAATATATGATACATTATGATGCATGTGATATGATGTGATATGAATGATAATGGGACACATCGACGTCTGCTTCGTAGTATACCCCCCCGGTGTGTTGAGCTGTTGCATCGGAGCTGCCGTGCCTGTATGCCGGTGATGTTTACTTTCAGTTTCGTCGTGTATGAGACGACAGTGCCTTTTCCTCCCGTTTTTCCTCAACATTGTCTTTGCCTTTATGCTGTTAAGTGTTGTGCATAAATGTATAAAGGTGAGTGTCTATTTGTGCAATGTAAACTTGTCAGTGTTTATAGGCCTATGTAGTAAATAGTGATATTAGTATATATTTTAGGAGGGAGTAATGTCTCTAGTTTGTTAGCGGTGCTGGATGCTAGTGGTAGCTTAGTTGCTAACTTCTTTGTATTTGTGTATTTCACTCAATTGTTTAATTCATTTGTATTGATTATATAATTGTTTATATTGTGATTATTATTAATGCCATTCCTTGTTTGTACTATTAGTACAGACCACACACACATGGCTAACAGCAAGAACAAGTATCATTAACGACCACTAAACTGGGAACGTCTGTTCTCCGTGTTCTTTTACTGGGACACACTCATCCACACCGTGCCATCTCTAAGCCAATTTCCTGGAGACCCCGTCTCCTTTACAGCTTCAATACGACTAACTTCTTCCCTCACCTTCTGTTATGAAGCTCATTTACTGACATGGGGCTGTTTTTTCATGTAAAATAATCTCTTTTCTTGGACCCCCGTTCATATATATTGACAGAACATTTTCTGCTGGACATCTGTGGTTGCTAGTGTTGAACTTTCCTGTCGGCTCCCAGACCGTAGTCGAGGAAACAGGGGGGATGACTCTCTGTCGTCTCCCAGGGCAGAAGCAACAAGCTTCAGGTTCAATAACCCACTTTAGCTTAAATGACTGGAGAGAGGCGAGCTCTTCTTGGGAGGCCGTTGCATTTATTTAGTTGTTCTTCTGTTTCACAAAATACATCACAGACCTCTGTTTTTCTGCTGCCTCGTTTCACTTCCAGAAAACATACACACGCTCGCTCTACCATCCACACACACACACACACACATGCACGCGCCACACCCCTCTCTCTCTCTCTTAAAGAGACAGCGATCTCATCTCACTCTGCATGACCCTAATATCACAACATTAGGATATTTGTGATGTAACTTCAACCCTTATTTACATTGAGTGAATTATACAAAGTGAAATATTTATCGCTACTGTAGACTGAGAGGCCATCGATCACATTCCAACACTAAGAGAAGTGACAATATTAAAGGTGTGGGGGGCTTTGTGTGGGTCGGGGTATACTGGCTATGGGTGGTACATTTTGAGTAATGACCCTCTCATCGAGACAAGAATGATGTAACAACAGTAACAAGGAATAAGAAGGGGAGAGGAGAGCAACATATAAAGACAAAGAGAAGGATGTTTCACATTCTCCCCTCTAATAGGAGGAAAGGAGCAGGAAGAAAGGATGGCAGTTGAGGAAGACTGAAATACCAATAACTCCTCCTCAACTCTAACATTCCTGAGATGCCACCTATTTGTTTCCATGCCTACGAATGTCCTCTTTAGGAATTCCAACATAATTATTGATGAAATGATGCTGCAACAGGCAACTTGAGCAATACTGTGTGATAATACTCTCTACACAAACATCAGAACATTATATAAAACATATTTAGATACTAATGACTGTGTCTAAATGTGTGTACTTCTGTACTTACATGTGCTATTTTGAGTGAATACGTCTGTCCCAATACCAAAATATGGTAGTATGCAGTGTATTTATTTTACTCTTTAATAAATGTACCAGCCACTGGTGTTGAAAAGAAGCTAATGTTAAATTAATTGGGTTGATTGAGCAATCTGTAATGATTTGCGACAGTGAATGATTAGCTAGCTAATTAGATAACAGCAGTAATGGTCATTTCAGCCGAGGGCAAGGCAAAAGTTTGCAATTTAAAACAACACCACATGGTTGATTTTTACACAGTGTTTAAAGGTGGGGTAAGTTTAAGAAACCGGCTCGAGATACACTTTTTGTTATATTCCATGGAATGCTCTTAACATCCCGATAGCAATGAATATCTTAAGTGCTTTCACAAAAAATCCATAAAAAAATATCATCTGTGGAAGCCGTGGCGATGTAAAAAGCACGACCAATCATCTTAGCCGGCCAGGCTAAAATAACTGGATGGCCTACCTGCCTGTCAGCCTTCCATCTGTGCACAAACTTATCTCGTGCCCTCATTGGTCATGTGCGCGTTCGTGTGTGTTGGAGGAGGGGCTCTGTAAGGAAGTGGCAGATTCTTTCCGGTTGTGTATTTTCAAATTCTAGCGCACTCGAGCTGGTTTCTCCAAAATTACCTACCCCACCTTTAAGTGCTCACAGTGTAAGATATGCAGTGAACTAAGGGAAGTGTCCACATTGAGACACAGAATATGAGTCCAATGGAGTCTCATTACAAAGTAACAGTTTACTCTAGTTAATGTAAAGACATTTTCATTAACTCTATACATTCAATCTATTTTAGTTTAAGGCACCATTTTGCAGGATAGGAGGTGAAATAATGTTTTATCAAACTGTTTTTAAAGGGAAGAAAGTATAAATCTATGTCATATAGAGTGGAGCAGAAAGGCAATTAGCCTAGCTTAATTGACGACTAAACACAGAGGTAATAACCGTAAAAAGATAAGACTTCTTAATATCCCTAAATGTTAAAGTCTTCATTCAATCCTTATATCCAAACAGTAATTTAAAAAATGATAGTTTGTGGTTTTAGGGAGTTATGTGTTGCAACTATTTTCCAAACCTTGGGCTAGCAACCTAGATATGATGCAGAAGAACCCGCTAAATGGATTTGCTGTTCTTCTTCAAGAAGTAGTTTGAGCTTAAACTGTTAATACGTTTATTTCTTCAGCCAAGAACCAGGCTATGGTGAAAGTGTATATATTAGTAAGCTTCTATTAGCCAACATTGAATTTCAGGGGCTAGCCTATATCTAAAGAAGGCATATTTATCATAAGGCCACTATTTGATGCTGCTTACTGTAATTCTATTAATTGAGTTGAGTAAAAGGACTTATATTCACAGTCACTCGGATACAGGAATTGGAAATGCTTATGAGGAGGGTCTCTGACCTTCATGTACAGGTCCACTCAGTGCTGATGGAGGCGTTGTTGATGAAGGTTCCTGCAGAAGCACAGCTTTTGCAGGTCCCGGTAACGGGGTTGTGGTGAAAGGCTTGGCTGAAGAGGTAGAAAGGGGTCGACATACATTATCTGTCTCTCTAGTCCCCGATGTGAGCAGCCCCTGAGCATGGCAGATCGTGTGGGTTCGGCACTTCAGCGAACTGGAGTCTGAGAAAGTTCCCTTGGTGCACGGCTTACACACCACATCGTCTGTTTCACTGCCCCGCCTCCTAACCCTGGTCCCTGGTGGGCACAGCGAGTGGGGCTTACACTCTGTGCCCCCAGCCCCAGACAGGAAGCTGTTGGTGGGACATGTACAGACTCGGTCCTGGGTGGGCTTGCAGGTTGCTTTCTCAACGAAACCCCCCGGACACGGACCCCGGCAGGGATGGCATTTCTGCAGCCCATTCTCCCCCCGTGTGAAGGTGCCTTCAGGGCAGCGGCTGCACTCCCTCACAGCTGTGAGGGAGCAGTGGAGCGACACGTGGGTTCCTGCCGGGCACTTGTCACAGTCCAGCTGGGTGCCCGAGTCGGGGTCCGTGTGCTGATACTGTCGGGGGGAGAGGAGGGCTGGGTCGGTGGGGCTGGTAGTGTTTAAAACCCGGGCCGAGATGCCAACCACCACGGAACAAAAGAGCTAAGGAGAAGGAAGAGAAGAAAGAGGGGAAGTTTAGGAGAAATCAATAAAATTGTATTTTATGCAACAAGATTAAAGCCACATGTTTATTACATCCCACACTACTTAGAGTAACATTTCGGAAATAACTTGTTAATTTGGCCAGCTGGCGACAGCAAAAACAAGTTCTGAAGACAACATTGACGTATCATGACCTTTAAATTTGACATGTTGCCTATTTACAGATAGGCTACAGCAGTCATATAGAACGATAAACAAGTACAAGTCACAAGATATGAGTGCTTTTAGCTGTGATAAGATGCCAAAAGGCTAAAATACAACCATACTCACAAAGGTTTATACCTAATGGGAACATTACAACATGGTTGTCAGTTTTCCTTTGTAAATGTTAAGATTTTGAAAGAAAGATGGCAAAGCTTGTGGCACTAAACAGGGTTCTTACAATAAACCGACATAGGCAATAAACGTGATATTTTAAAATGAAATACTGATGCTAATAATACATTTATAATAATTCAGTGCTTCTTAATTAATTTCTGTTTCTTTCCGTTCTCTCTTTGTCTCCTTCTTCAAACCCCCCACACACAAATTAGTGTTATTAATTTGCCAAAAAAGATTGTCATCCACAGACCATGAATAACCACATATTTATTAGTGATCACAGGTTTATCTTTCTTGTTCCGGATTAAAGGGATTTAACAGATAAATGGACCGACAGATGGACAGCTCACTGACTCAGAAAAAGGACAAAAGAACCCAAAGCGCTCATTGCAACATAATTGAGACTCCTTTTCCAATAAGATGCATTTTTTATATTGGTTTGAACACATTGAATAAGACCCACACAACTAAAGCATGTTGTTGCCCAATCCAAAATAGTCTCCTGACAAACAGTGAGTAAGCCATGCAAAGATGTATCATTACAATATTTGGTTGGAAACATCACAGGCAGCAGGCATGAATGTGTTTAGGGTTACATGGACTCAGGAAAGTCCAATTTCCGGAGCTACCATTTAGCTTCCCAATGGATGGTGTTTCTTTGATGAGATTAGTAGGGAAACATCTCTTTGAAAACCCATTTAATGCAGCGTCATAGTATGTTCTCAGTCCCTTGACTCATTCTGTCCCTCTTAAATGAAGTGCCCGGCAGTGCAGGGGAGGGGGGGGTTTGAAGACATGCAATATGACTCTAGCTTTACTTGTTTTGCTTTTGTTCAGTTGCCATGCACTCTCACCTCTGCAGGGAAGCTGACAGCTCACTGGGTTTAGGGGAATAACCCACACATGTCTAAAGGACTGAGTCATGTTGGAGGAATACCATCAGGCAGCCTCCATTACATAATGCTCGAGGGCTGACAGTGTTGTATTGTCTCTTGTTTCCTTTGTGGACAAATTAAACAGTCTTAGTGAAAGTTATTTATAAATGTATTGTAATTGTAGTTCAACTCATGTTGCATTTAACTTGTGCTTGTATTGTATTTTTCAATCATCATATTTGAACCCTCTTTCTACTCAATTGAGAGAGACAAAATGTCTTGACCTTGGCACCATCCTCTCAATCACCAATGCACTTCTAAGTCTCCCACATTCTGCACCCTGTCTGGCAGCCCAGTCCCGGCAAGAATTATGACTCTGATCTGACACAGAAGCCAAACAGGATGATACACAGTGACAGTGTGTGTGTCAGTGTGTTCTTCCCTGCTGAGAGTGTGTTTTCAGACAACGATTAGCAACCCTTGTGTGTGCATGCAGAACAAACAGTTCTGGTGGGATAGAAGTGATGCAGTGAGGGGAGAATTCTGCTGATGACGCACATTACCTTGTGTGAATCTGAACTGTCCTGTTCTTCACTCTCACTCTGTTGCTGCTTTAACTCCTGAATTTCTCCACAGGGATAAACAAAGGTCCATCTTGTCTTACATTACTGTTGGTCATCTGTTAGGACTGAACAGACACATTGTTTAGGGTCATACCCAAGGGTGTCACTTTGGGTTGAAAAGTGGTGGGGTCATAGGGGGTCAGAAGATTTATAATGTTGCACTATGCATTTGGGGGAGGGGGCAGATTGAGGTTGGATTGGATTATTTCCAAGATTGGGAAAAAACAAGAATCAATGTCAATAATGTTTTAAGTTGAATGCATTTTGGTCTATTTTTCATTATGTAAGATATTGGATTTCTTTAAAATAATTCAAAGCTCATTCAAATCTATTTTATTCAACTTGCATGTTATGTTTTCTTATTGTGATATTACTGTGTCTCATTTGTTGGTAATCTTGTGCAAGATATTTTTCAAAGCATTTTTCTTTTCTTTTTTAAATGATATTAGATTTCACATAACTGCATTTGGTTAGTTGAAAGCAATAATATTAAGTTCAACGTAATATTTTTTATTTAAAATTAATATTATTGCTTTCAACTAACCTAATATAGTTATGTGAAATATGTTGACCAAATTCATTTAATTAAGGCCAATGTTTCAGGTTCTTCAGTGTAGTATCATTGCCTTAAGGTTCCCTTAAAAGTGAAGAGGTTAGAGGCCAATGAACTTAATCCATACAATTCATAAATGTTGTTTAAAGTATTTGGACATCTTAAATTGAATCTACTGTTGAGAAAATTTGAAAAAAATCAATTAGGGTTTATTTTAAGACATCAAGAAGGAATGAGGGCTACTGAGTTGACAAATATGACATGTGGGGTTCCTCAAGGCTCCATCTTGGGGCCTCTCCTCTTTAACATTCACATGCTACCACTAGCTCAGATAATGAAAAACAACAACAACATAAGTTACCATAGCTATGCGGATGACACACAAATGTACATAACCATTTCACCAGGAGACTATTCTCCAATGAAAACACTGAGTAAGTGCATTGAACAAATCAATGACTGGATGTGTCAGAACTTTCTCCAATTAAACAAAGACAAAACTGAGGTAATGGTTTTTGGAGCCAAGGCAGAACGTATAAAAGTTAGCGCTGAGCTTCAGTCTGCAATGTTCAAAACAACAGATAAAGCCAGAAATCTAGGTGTAGTCATGGACTCTGACCTGAGTTTCAACAGTCACATTAAAACAGTTACTAAATCAGCCTACTATCACCTAAAGAATATATCTAGGATTAAAAGACTAATGTCACAGCAGGATTTGGAAAAACGTTCCCATGCTTTTATCTTCAGTAGACTCGACTACTGCAATGGTGTCTTCACAGGTCTCACTAAAAAATCTATTAGAAAGCTGCAGCTGATTCAGAACGCTGCTGCTCGAGTCCTCACTAACACTAAGAAAGTGGATCACATCACTCCTGTTCTGAAGTCTTTACACTGGCTTCCTGTGTGTCAAAGAATAGATTTCTAAATATTGCTGCTGGTTTATAAAGCACTGAATGGTTTAGGCCCAAAATACATTTCTGACCTCCTGCTAAATTATGAAACATCCAGATCTCTCAGGTCTTCAGGGACTGGTCAGCTTTCTGTCCCCAGAGTCAGAACTAAACATGGAGAAGCAGCGTTCAGTTATTATGCTCCAAATATCTGGAACAAACTCCCAGAAACCTGCAGGTCCGCTGCAACTCTGACTACTTTTAAATCCAGGCTGAAGACTTTTCTTTTTGCCGTTGCTTTTAATTGAAACTGAGCGGTTGTGTTTAGTTTTTGGTTAATGAACATTTGGGGCTAGTAACCCCAGGGAATCAGTGTCTGGGGACTTTGTCCTGGCTGGTTTTCTCTGTGTATGCTGCTCGGGACGTATGTGCCATACAAGCGTACACAGCTCATGTTCGGAGAAACCTTAAAGAAAGGCATCAGTAAAATGGAACTTCTGTGTGAACTATTCATATCTTAAACTGCACTGTAACCTTTTATTCATGTCTTTTTTATTTGAATGTTTCTTTTATCTTTTCTTTTTAATGACTGTTTGTAAATGCCTTTGTCTGAATGTCTTTCATTTTTGTAAAGCACCTTGAATTGCCTTGTGTTGAAAGGTGCTATATAAATAAACTTGCCTTGCCTACAAAAAGTCATTTCCCACAAACGTCTCTCAATCAAAATGTCAAGGAAGACAAACTCATTTTGTGATTAGTGCTAATATAAAGCAGTCCATTCTTTCAGCGCTCCATTGCCCTTTTAACCGCACCACCCATTCTGCTCTGTGTTTTCATTCCCAGAACCTCATCCATAAACATCAGAGCGTGTTCCCGACGTGCTGCTCATAACTCTGTTCCGTCAGTAGAACATCAATGCATTCATTCACATCAATGTAAGACGCAGGAAGAGAAAATGTTGTTTGTTACGAGACACGGCCCACCCGTGGCTCTTTCTGCATGCCCTGAACAATACCATAACTGAGGGCATGCTCGTAAAAAAACAAGAACTGTGTGTTGGCTTAGTAAAGGATGCTCATAGTTTTCATGCCAGAAACTGTGATGCAGATTTTGTTTTTGTCTGGGGAAAGCAGGCTCATTAAGAAATACCAGGCAACTCCTGAGAATCAAGAAAAGGAGCTTGATAAAAAAATGTTATCAATTATCAATGAGATAATTGCAATATCTTTCTATTGCTTATTTTGTACTGTATTTCGGTATCATTGAAACTGAAACAGCTAGCATGAAAATAGTTTTTCATTACATATTTGTATTTACACCTGTGCTTTTCTTGCTGTGATACGTCAAATGTCTTGAGTTAAAAATGTTGAAAAACGTTACACTCAAAAAGTGCAAGGCCAAACATCAGGCTGAAGTTAGTTAAAGTAAAAGTTTGGGAAATACAAGTGTTTGCTTTTTTGCAAAGATTCTGTCTGCTAAAAATGAAGCGGGAAATTAGCGTAGCATTCAGACTCACAGCAGAGCTAGCCTAGCTACGGTCAAAGGTTTAAAAGTTTTGCCCATCAGCACCTCTAAAACGTACGTAATAACAGGTTTAATTTGTTTTTCTAAGAATTTAGTTTTGTGTTTAACCACTACAGTCTGCTTCAAAGTTAAGTTGGTTTTAAGTGGGTTGTAA